GGTTCCTCCTCCTCACATGAGGAGGAAATAAAAATTACCAAAATTGAAGCATATAAATTTATTTTAAACACTTCTATTGATTTTGATCGTAGCTTTTCATCGTTAGCATTCGTTCCAAATCAATAAAAGTGTTTAAAATAAATTTATATGCCTCAATTTTGGTAATTTTTATTTCCTCCTCATGTGAGGAGGAGGAACCTCCTCAACGCTCTCCTCCTCCTCATTCACCTTCTCATCATTCCTCTTCCTCGGAGTTACACTCTCTGCTTAAAAATTTAATCGATAGGTGTTCGTTATTGCTCGAATATACTTCGGAAGACAACTTGAAAAAACGAATGACATTGTTTGTTAATAAAATTCGATTCATTTCAATCTTTTTTCAATTCTTCGAAGTTAAGAAGTGATCGTTAGGAAGTTGGAAAACATATCTTTGAAACCGTTCTGAAAATATGAATTGGCTGAGAGTCGTGTTTCGACGTCGTTAAGCTACCATTAAAAAACCTCAAACCTTTTCGTGCTTTTTGACAGATGTTCTAAATTGAATGTTTTCTATGTCGCCATCTGGTTGGTGATACTAATATCTTCTCGCACGGTTCTGAAGAAGATTTTATTTATTGTTTATCCAATTTTATACAAAATTACTTTTTCATTCATAAATCCGATTTAGAAAACAAAATCGCAGTTATTTCGACTTTTTGCATACAAAGTGCCCAGGGCTGGAATTCTAAGTCATTCCACCAAAATCGTTCGGAATTATTTTTTTCGTACATAAGACCATATTGGAGTGAAAGAGAGAGATTCCACTATTTTTCAGGATCCCACTGGAATTATTTCTCACACAATCCACTCTTCCTTGAGTTATCGGAATAATTCCGGTGGGATCCTGAAAAATAGTGGAATCTCTCTCTTTCACTCCAATATGGTTTTATGTACGAAAAAAATAATTCCGAACGATTTTGGTGGAATGACTTAGAATTCCAGCCCAGAACATAAGAGTGGAAAAATTGTCATCATCAAATTTGAAACACGGCACGACCAATTTACAATATTTAGTTAAAAATTGAGTTTTTATTTTAAATTAATCACGCCGGGGATGATTTTTTTTCCTTCTATTCATAATCTCTTGAAATTGGTTGAGTTTGAATTGAAAAAGTATACTTATTACGGCCATTCTTCGAGAGTTCCGTGCATTTATGTGACACTTGAATTTGAAACCTTTGTGCAATGGGATCTTATTTTCTCCACTGTGATTTTTAATTATAAATTGAGAAAAGAAATGTTCGAAAATCAGCTTTGATAAGTAATTTTTTATGGGCGACAAACAGTTGGATCCAGGATTGAGTGTAACTGGTTGTTTCTTATTTTATTTAGACATTAATGTTTGTGCTTTCGTTTATGTTGTTTATCATCAAAGTACGCACAATTTCCATCCCAAAAAAATAATAAAAGATATTTTGTCCCCAAAATAGAATAAATTAATCAATAAAACATCGTATTCAGTTGGATTTCCGACAAAAGAATAGATGCGTTGCAAATCAATGAATCACAAGACATCCAGGATCGAACAATTATCAACGAAGTACTCCACTACGAAGTACTCGGGCGCTGCGTGTACGAAACTTCGTTTGTATGGTGCATGTCGCGTGTATGATGTTATCGAACATACTACATACTTGATATTAATTCAAGTAATTTTCATAAAATAAAGAAATGTATGCTTCGATTCAAACTACATTCCATGTAGTGCTTCGATAACTAATTTGATGAGAACATCAAATTAATTTAAAAAATCAATTTTAACAACCGCATAAAGAACGCAGAGAGGAGCGACGATCTGCAGTCTTGTTTAATCTGACTTGACTTTAGTTCTGTATTTTTGAATTGAAATATTTTTTCAACTTGATCCATTATTTCGGTAGCTCCAAATATCAAAAATATAATAATGCAACAATCAGTTCACATTTGATTTTGGCACGAGTCACATTTCCATTCAAATCAAACAAGTACATTTCTATTGTGAAATAGAATGTCATGCAAAGTTCATAATGATTGGTTTAATTTGGAATTCGTAATGAAAGATGAAAGCAATGTGAAATACAAAGAATTTTTCAAGAAGGAAGAAGATTTTACGTTGAGATGTTCAGCCTGCGATAGTACTATCAACATCAAAAGCAAAGGATTTGCTGCTTTGACCCAACACTTGATGCGAGATAAACATATTGAAAACATGGAAGTCAAATTTAATTCAGTTAGCAATATTATTTATAAGTCAACTGCGTAGCAAGTAAGATTGAAAATAAAATTTCAGTTATGATTCGACTAGAAACACTATAAAAAAATCTATTTTTATAACTGCTTCTTTGATTTTGCCATATTAATTTCATCAGCTGCTTGCTTTTTCAAACTGGTAATATCAGCTTTTTCAGCTTTTTTAGAAAAAAAATCTGTGGCAGGCTTGAATATATGTTGAAAAATGGGTCAAAAACAGCCATTTTAAGTACGGCTCTATCGACCACTAGATTTTAACATTTTTTTTTTATCTGAAAATGGGAATCAGCTAGTTTTGAGCCCAATTTAATTTTGAACTATTGAGAGCATATACCTTACCATGATAAATCAGTTTGGACCACCCTATTAATGACTATTTCAATATGATTCTTACCTTTGAATATTCTCTTCTCTTCATTCAATCTATTGTGAGAAAAAAGAAACGCAATTCCATGTATATACTCAATAATTTATTTATTAATTTTCCGAATTTTCACATACAAAAAAAAATGAACTAAATGAAAACATTGATTTATTTTTCGCCTGTTCATTTTTCTTGTGGATTTATGTTTCTAATTGGCCTATCGAGTTTGTCCATCTCTAAATGATTAAATTCATTTGCACAAAATCTATCGACTAAATTCATGTATTTGAATGGAGTTCCTTAAAAAAAATCTACCGATATTCCTATAAACCTAAATTGTGTGTAAATTTGTAGGCCACACAAAATGAAAATCGTTTGCAACAACACGGGGTGAAAAGGACTTCGACAACAGAAAAAATGGTGTGTATTTTGTGCACATTCTAAGCATATATCTGAGTGAAGCAATGCTAATTTAAACTAAACAAAACAAGAAAAAATGTTACGTAAAGACAGTTTCACTGACAAAACTGATGTGAATGAGGGTTTTGTGCATGTTATCGCCTGACATAAATGGCTTTGACATATTGCATTTACTGACTATCGCATTAAATAATGAAAATGCATGGTTTTTTCTTTTCTTCTTCTTTATATTTCAATACGTAAATTTATTCATATCCAATAAATTTGAGAGGACATTATGAAATAAATACCGAAAAAAACACATGCAAACATTTCTGTGGCGATTTCGTGACTTGTTGGCGTATATAGAAAAAAAAAAAAACAAAACAAAAAAATTGTGAGAGTATTCGCAATTAATGCATTTTACTCAGTATGGAAAATTTCGGGAAAAATAAGAAATTATCTGACTATAAATAAGAAAGTGATAAAAAGACCAATTACTTGTTTACTTTTATTGCAGAATCATGATTCATATCACATAAAAAACAAATTCAATTAAAACAAAGAAAAGGACACAGAAAAGAATGAAAAAAAAATGAAAATGAAAGGAAAGAAAAAGCGCAAAAGAAAGTGAAAAAAAACAGACGGTTTCATTTCAAATAAATTATACTACGTCTGTTGCGATTTCTTTTATTGAAGTCTTTTCTTTAAAAAGAGAGGAGGGACGAATGTGTGTGCAAATGTTTTTTTTTTTTTTTTGGGAACAATTTCGATAATTTATGTTTGTAAATAATTATCATGCAATTCGTAATGAGGTTACTATAATTAGTAGAGATATTTGTTGCTTGGATAATGTAATGACTCATACTAATAACAACGAACGAACGGAAACAAAGAAATGCCCGAAATAAAATGAAAAAATTCAATCAGAAATTTGATATACATATCCATATATGCATAGATTCTGGATTATTTTTTGTGTTTCTTTTTCTTTCTTCGTTATTTGGTTTTATTTCATTTAATTTGCATGAGATTTTGCCACTGGTGCTTAATGAATAATTTGTGTGTGTGTGAAGGAGAGAGATTTGTGTGTTTGTAGCTGCCTTGTGTGTATGCGCGCGCGTGTATGTGTGTGTGTGCTGCGTTCGTTGTTATAGTCATTGTTATAAAATTCCATGTTACATGTCTCAAACATGGAATATATTCGCCTACGGAAAAATGTGTCAAATTCTATCCTAATCGCTATTTCATTCTGATTTTACAATATTCTATGTATTTAATGTTTTTTTTTTCCTTTTAATTTATTGGTATTTTTGTGTGTTGTTGCTACTGCTGCTGCCTTCTTCTTTGCATTTTTCGTTTTTAACTATTTGCATATATTTCTTGGCTGCCTTTGGGTATAGTTTTGGTTGTCGCAAATTACATATTATACGCGACATAGATTGGGTCCAGTTGATCGGCCAGAAAACCGTCACGCAAATGCATTCTCTGCTTTTCGCCACGACTGTTGATTGGAACAACGCCCGGATCCACCACCACTACAACGCCAACAATAAGCTGATGCTCTTCGAGAACCTGTGAATTAGAAGAAAATGAAAAATATAGAATTTTTTTTGAAGTGAAAACCATTGGCAAGGTCGGTAGCAAGTACAAAAGAATATTTTTTCCAAAACTAAGACGAATTTCTTTTTTTTTCTTCACAGTTTTGTTCAAGACTTCGAATAATAATTACCGTATTCGTAACGAGTGGAACCAAATCTAAGGCTTCTGACTCATTTCCATCTAGTTCAACGACCACCACTAGCAAATTGGTCCACGTGAACACGGCGCATTCGGCAATTTTCTTGTGGCATCTCAACACGGAATTTTCAATGTCAATCGGATGATAGTTCATACCACGCAATGTAATAACTTCATCCAGTGCTCCGACCACATAAACAGCATCGTGTAACTCGTGTTCATTATTGAAACTGGCATTAACACCGACGCCGGGTGCATTCTGTGAATGAATTGTGCCTTGTGAATGCAGTGATTCGGTGTCACTGTCTCGACTTGCTATGCTCGGTGTCGTTTCATCAAGAACGGACGATGCTTGCGAGCATTCTGTGCGCCGTAAGAAGCCCAAATAGCCCGTTCGTGCGTATACTTCAGTCGTTGCACCCGTCACCAGTTTGGCGTTGAAGTGATCGTTGTAGTCTTTTTCATCTCCATAAATTGTGAAGTATCCGTTGGCCGTGTGTGGTGATTGAACCCAAATCTCTCCCAAATGTGAATCACCACAATGGCCCTTTGTATCCGGATTTGCAATGATTACCTTCACTCCGGGCAAAAGTTTACCTATAGTTGAGATTAAGAAAATGATGCATCGAATTAGAGTTTCATTGAATGAGAATTAACCATAAATTTAACTAACCTGATTCAATTAAACATAAACTATTTGGAGCGCCACGCTCCACAAGTGCTACCCGATTATTACGAAGTGCCCGTAAATCAACATAGACTTGAGCACTTTCAGCCGAACTGGCACCTTGTACACAGATTGCCGGATTGACACGACATCCAAACGAAGTGGATACACATCGGGTGTTCAATCCAAGAGCCTGGAATAGTTTACAGAATTGCTGGGTGAGCTGTACTCTGGGCCGTTCTTCAGCAACAACGACACATGTTCGTACACATCCAAGATTAATGTTTCGTTGTTTCAACACCTGAATGGAATTGCTTAATGCTTTGGTGCATAGCTCGATTACGCCATACGAACAGAATGTGTCACGTACACGATATTGTGACAATGTGCTCAGCCAGAGACTGGGATTCGCTTCGACTTCATATGGTGCAATCAATAGTGAATGATGACCACTGTACACACCAATCAATGTCCACATGATGAAACCAAGACCACAATATGGATCCAAACATAAAGCCACATGACGACTCGGGTATAATTCACATGCCAATTTCAAACTTGCGCAAACACTTGACAATGACCTAATGGAAAATAAGAGCAATAGAAAATAAATGAATGAAATTGATATTTTAATGACATTTTAAATGACGACAGGCATCATTTAAATGGAATTTAGATCAATTAACTCACCTATGTGTCATGATAACGCCACTCAGTCGACCGCATGTGGATACACTGAAATCCAAGTAAGCGGTTGAGTCTAGTGAGCTGTTGGCAATTGAGGCCAATTTTCTCTTTGGATTGTCATCAATATCAAGGATTGGTGGCCAGCTTTTTGGATCAATCGATGCAGCTGCTTCGCGTGTTTTGAGCAATTTGATGATGCTTTGAATGGAAAGTACGATACCGCTCTTTGACACATCGACTATCATTCGAACGGTGGGCAGTGTTGTGATCAAATTTTGTGGGTGTGGCGGTCGAATTGTAACGGGCGTTGCACCCAAGTACAGGCAACCGTAAAATGCACAAATCAAATCCAATCCCGGTGGGAAAATCAACGCAACATGATCGCCGGGATTTATTTTGCCACGCTCTTGCAGCAATGCTGCTATTTTCTCCGCACGCTTATGCAACTCCGAACAGGTTAAAGTTTTTGCAATTGCGCCTATTCGATGAAAATAATTATGACAGTTTTATTGTATTGACACTCAAATTGGTTGTTTTCAATATTGGAACATTTTTTCAGTAGGAATTTTTTCCCTATTGGAATCTCAAATGTTGAGAATTTTTTTTTTTTTTTTTTTTCAAAATAAGAATAAAATATCAATTATATGATGAATACCTTTCGAATTAAGAAGTGTATACACAACATGATCAGGCGATGTATTTGCTCTCCATCTCAGGACGCCTGTTATAAGTTGGTGCTTAATGAAGAAGAAAAATTGGGTTTAGTTAAATTTTTTTTTCGGAACCTATGTGGTCAAAAAACATTTTTTTTTTTTTCGATAAAAATTCCAATTTACCTTCCGTTCGCCATCGTCGGAGAACCCGATGTCTCTTCCTTGAGCCACCGCCAGTCGATTACCTTGCACCAAATTCCCGACCATCACCGATGCAGGACCAACCGATGTGTCTGTAACACATCCAGATGAACTTCCAGTATTTTGAGTTGCTTGGAGTGCGCCTAATTTGTTTTTTTTTTTATTGTGGTTTATGTTTTTTCATATCGGAAATGGCGGAGTCAAAATATGTCAAGATTTGTCACGTGTATGTGATTATGCGTGTGCGTGTGCGTGTGTTCGTGTGTGTATATGTGAATGTAAGTATGAGTAAGAGTGAATGAAAGGTGTTAGGTGTTAAGTGTGTGGTGTAATGATAAAAAAATAATATAGAGCACGAATGATGGAAGCAAGAGTTATGAAATATTCTGTGAATGAATCGATCAATTGTGCAAGAATTTTTGTTTTTTTTTTGTTTTTTGATGTGGATCCAAAGTATTCGTTTAGGTAAACTTAGGTGTAAAAATAGTAGTGTTTAATTTTGAGATGTAAATAGAGAAATTGTTTATGGTATTTTGTTGGAGATCTTTGGCATTTTGCATTAAAAACGTGATTGAATGGAAGTAAATTGTTCTTGTCCTACATTTTCAATGCAGAATATCGATGATTTCCTGTGTCAGTTTGGTGTTTTTTTTTTTGGTAGCAAATTTGACTGTGTGTTGTAATGGCAAATAGGCGATTCCACTTGTCTCAACTTATAAACATCGTTTTTGTACACATTTCTATGCAGATGAGGATGGTGATTAGTACGAATAAAACAAAAAGAAAATATGTCGTTTGGAATTCAGTTGAAATGAAAATGGACAGAAAATTTACTCGGGATTTGTCTATGAGTTGGTTTTTTGCTGAGAAGTATTCGACCAAAATTCAAAATGTCGCTACTTTTTTTTTACAAGAAAATGGCGATTAAGTTCTTTTTTGTCTAATAGAAAGGGTGGTTATTTAGCGATTTGAAGGGTGTTAGATGTGAAAGAGAATAGTATAAAGTGACTTTAGCTTGTGTTGAAAGGCGCCCGATTGATTGATAACATAGCGATTTCCACACGCAGAACGTAGCTCATTGGAGACAATACTCTACCGGAATTTGTGGATTGATTCCTAGTTGGATCGCATACTCAATGCCATGTGCAATCTAAACATCGATTTGTCACACTCAAACATATAGCAATTCAGTAGCACATCAAGGCCAAACGAAATTCTTACGATGCTCAATTGAAACGAACCATTTGCCGCGGGGAAATTTGAATTTTGGAAAAATTATTCTATGCATGTCATGTATTTTCATTATAATTTTCATATTCAAATTTTTTGAAATTGTGAATTTGTCGATAATTGGCCTAAATATCTCCAACCATTGGTTCGTTTGAGCATTCGAAAGATCTTGTTTGGTCCTGTTTTGCCTTTTTTTGTATCAGCCACTTGAAATTCATTCAATCAATTGATTGAAAACAATTTGCAATAGTAACGCTGATAGAAAACGGCAACGGCTCTTCATACACTTGGATGCAACAAATCGAACGAAATTACCGCGATGCTTCGCTGTGTCCGAGACTCCGATATCTACAGTACAAAATTGTTGTGCAATCGAAAAATTTTAAGAAACAATTACCGTGATGCAATTCCCGTGGCTTTGGTAAATTGGTTACGCATGTGTGTGGGCACATCAATACATTGGCCGGATGCAATGAACCCTCTAAAAATCGTCGTCTTGCTTCGCACAAGTGTATGCCACCTAAGATGATAACGAATATTTCATTAACACATTTTTTCTTCTGGTTTAGTTTAAAATTGCTTGCAAAAAACGAACCTAGTGGCGTTTTTGGTAAATGATTTGGCGGGACTAGAGCAAGACAATAAATTCCGACTTGATGAATGGAATCGACGGCTTGTAGCACGCGTGACATCCACTGGAACGATTCTTCTTCGGAACAGTCGGGTCTCTGTTCGGCAATAACACATACTCGTTCATCGCGCAATACTTTTATGCTGAACACCGCAATTCGGCCACGATAGATGAAGCGCATTGGTTCCACGGCTAAAACTGTTGCGATTATATCTGCAATGTATCAAGGAGGAAAGAGACGCTCGTTAGCAAATAAATAAATAAATGTGACAATTTAAAGACTCACCATCTGCGTTGTGTTTTCTGCCTGTGACGGTCATCAATCCGTCTCGGCTGCCACAAATGAATACTAGACCAGATGGGCCCAAAAAGCCCAATAAACCACTTCGCACGTAATTCTTATCGTCACCAATGGGTTTGGTTGCGATTGTTGAATTTTCGGATTTTGCGTCTGGCTCCTCGATTGATGGTTGCACTTTGAATGTGGAATTGGTCATTCCATCCAATCCGAAGTATGTATTGCCGGTGGCTCCGGACGTTACACAAATTTCACCAACTTGATCCGTTTTACAGAGGACTGATGGTCCTTCGGATCGTACAACGACCATGTTGGTGCCAGGCATAACCTGGCCACAATCTTGTAACGTTAGTGATGTTAGAGAGTCTTCCGAATCAACGCGAACAACACCATGCGAAAGAGCTGCCATTGACAATACACCCCGGCCAGTTGCTGATTGACTAAATCCACCCTGTGATTGAATCGAAATGAAATTTTTTTGAATTTTTACATTGAAAAAATTTGACGTCAATATGACGAAAAATGAATGGAATCGTGTAGAAATAAATGATTAAACAAAAATCAAACATTTACGTGTGTTCCGCGTCCAGGTCGTCGCAATGAGACAGTAAATGCTTCTGAGCTGCTTGCACATGGGCAAATGGCGTCTGGTCGAAGGCCTTTTGCTTGGAATACGCTTAAAAATTGATCGCAACTGGACAATGACCATGGATTTGCACCGTCGGCAACCAACAGCATTCGCAGCGAAGACAATGAAATGTCTTTGTGATCCTTAGTCGCTAATAATCCCCAGTGCAGATCTCGACTTTTAACCAAACAGCATGATGCCCGGTATTTTGTAATCAATTGCATCCAGGATGATGGACGTAGTTTCATGAGTGCATATGGAATGAATAGAACGTGGATTCCGTTTAAAACGGATGTCAAAACGCTGTGCCATAGGCCGACTTCTCGTTTAAAATCGAGCACACAAACAACTGTTTCACCTTCCGTATAATGACAGGCCATGGTAAGTGCTCGGCAGTGATTCATCATAGCGTCACGTTTCACCGTAACGCCCATCACACTGCCCTCCTTATCGGTCGTATATTCGATATACGCATTTCCATCTTCATTAATTCGAGCGTTGTTCACATTGAAGTCTTTTGGTGGTTTTGGCAAATGTTCGGTCACAAACCACTGTAAACGTGGCCATCCTTTGAGTTTTGCAATCTCACCGGTCGATGACTTTGGCAAACCTTTTAAGCATGCTTCTGATGTGAGCGCTACTTGAATGCCACACGAACTCAGCAGAAAGCCAATTTGCTGCGGCGGTGAATCTGAACTAGACAATGGTAATTCAATCGGCAACGGCACCAATCCTCTGAACATACATCCGTACCAAGCCGTAATGAAACTAAATAATCAAGAAGACGAGAAAAAAAAACAAGAACACCAAAACCATTTAATTCCATACCGCCCACGATACAATTCCAATTCGACAAACCAATTATTGCTGGTCACAATGACTCATAAAACACAAAAAAATTATGCTAATTTATCGATTTCGATTCACTTACTTTAATGGATCATTGTTTGGATACACTAAAGCCACTGTATCGCCAGCCTTCAAGGTGATCGACTCGGGACCTTTGCTAAATACTTTTGTCGATAGTGCATAGGCGATTTTCATAGCACGCGACAATAATTTGCCATAGGTTAGCGTTGTGGTTAAATTCTTTCCGTTTGGATCGAGAACGGTGGCCATTGGAGCTTTGAATGAACTCGAACCATAACGTTGTAGTGCTGCCTCAAGTGTTCGCGGTAATCCAGATGGTACGACTAGTTGCTCACCATGCACCGGTGTCATGGTCAAACCTTCTGGTTTGGGTGCATTCGGATCCTTTGGATTAGCTGCAATTTCCAATTCGATATCATTATCCTCATAGAATTCGGGCAATGGTCGACGTTTCGGTCGTTTCAATGTATTTAATAATTGCTGAATTTTCGCTGACACCTTCCATCGCCCTGTTGTACCTGTGAGCGTGAAAAACAAGTATGATATTTTAGAAAAAAAATGTTCAAACTATCCCAAATGTAACGATTTTTCTTTAGGAAAAAAAAAACGTTCAACTTTTGAACTTATCTCACCTGTATCCCCAGCATCAGTTTGGGAAACGTTGACATATCGTGTTACACGATCCGCTCCTCTTCGTGTGTTATTGAATTGTGTTATGTCTGGGGCAGCATCTATCAAGCATATGAAAAACAATCAATTGAACGATTTTGAACGTGGAATAATATTTATGCTTTGATCAATGAGTGTTTCTTACAAGGCCGAACGTGCGGCTGTTGAAAATCAGGTACGTCAGTCAAATCGTAAGCACTAGTTTTATTGTTTCGGTGCACAGCCGGTGGTGATCCAGTACTAGACGTATCTGACATTGACTGCTGTAATGGTGAAAATGGAAAACACAAATCAAATACGAATCGCACAAAGAATTGAACGAAAAAGAAAAGTAGAATGTAGCAGTACCGGTGGTGGAAGGTTTTGTGGTCTCCGTTCCGATGCATTATTTTGGTGTCGACGCTCTGAATTGTCTCGCTGTGATGGCATTTTAATTTTATCTCTGGAATTGCACAAGTGATCCCGTGGGTAGTTGTATTCGCGGTCCGGCGTTGCTATTCGCTCTTCAGGTATAGAAGCATCGTCTGAACTAGAATCCGCTGGTAAGTGGAAAACCAAAGTACAAATTCATTTTTGCTGTCGGTTAAATCGACCCGGGCGTTACATACATGTGTGTCTTGTACGAAACAAGTTTTTAGTTTGAAATTCATTTATATTGTAGTTGCACCGCAACTGAAGTACATTTGGGATTTTATTCGGTTGCATTACTTTTGCTATAAATTTTGTGAGTTGTCATTGTTGCGATATCAAGATATCACGAATAATAATTGAATGCGAAACTTGGTTTCTGGCTTTTCAATTTGAAAAATGCGAGCAACTTGCTCTCGAACGAAGCAAGATGGAAAAAAATCAAAATGCATAATAATTCCATTTTGTTCAGTTTTTTTTTTACCTGAGTCATCGCGATTTCGATCGGGACTACGATTGAGCACAGAGCTTCGCTTCGATGGCATCGGCAAACTGGGTTTTGGTCGATTTTTCAATGCAGCCAGTGCTTGTTGCACAGCCTCCTGTCGAACTTCTACGTGATGTAAACGAAAACAAATAGACAAATAATGAAAGAAATGAAACGAAATGTATTAGATATTTTAGAAATCATTTGAACCAATTTGTATCGACACGCGAAAGACAAATCGAACGCTTGACGTCACAGAGGCGTATTAAAACTGAAGAAGTAGAAAAGCAGATGTAAAAAAAACAACACAAACACGTACGCGATGGGTACGATTCGCGTGGGTTGTCGATATGTTTTTTTTTTCTCTGTTTGTTGGTGCTTCTTCTTCTTCATTCAATTAACATAACAATGAACACCATATTATTGTGTTGAAAAATCAAACATTGCTCTCATATAAGTAATAAATCGATTAAATAGACGTCTTCCATAAACAATCAAAGCGTTATCTTTCGCACTATCCATATAAGTCGGTGCCAAATTGGCAATTGGAAATAAGTTTGTGATATGCAGAATAGAACTCCCATTTCTGAATTGTTTGTCTAATCTATTCGATCAGCTAGTTAAAAATTAATCGCTATGTGACTTTTTTTTTTCGTATTTGGACGCACCAAACAGAGCTCCAAAAAAAAAAGAGTTGTTCAAATTGGATTTAATTTGGTTTCGGTTCGCTTCGGTTCACTTACCTGAGTGGTATCGCTTTTCATTGTGCGTAACACGTCGTTGTGCTCTTCGGGCGCGATTTTGTGCCTGCTGATCGCGATGCGATGAGGACATGGATTTTTGCTGTGATTGTTGTTGCTGGCGATGTTGGGTCGATTGAAGTGATGGCACCTCATCAACATAGCTATAACCCTCGCTATTGACTACGTTACCGCCGCCACTGCCACCACCGCCGCTATTTCCTCCATTATTTTTTTGCAGATTATAATAACCGTCATCTGCAGAATGACATATATGAACGCAGAACGAACGAGTGAAGAGAAGAGAAAAAAATCGTCAATTTTAATTAATCAACATCAGATTTGACAATTATCGCGTATGTGTCAACTACTACTCACTTGATGGCGGATTTTTTGGTAGATACGGTTGTAGCAACCGTGAACGTTTCTTTTCGTACCCTTTCTGAGTGATGTCGCCTAGAAAAAGAGGTAATCAAAATATAAAATAGTAGCAATTAATTTCCATTCTAGCCAAAAATTAACGGTACAAGGTTGTTGAATGAAACGTTTCTTCGTCGTGTCGTTGGATTCAAAAGCGTGAATACAAAGACATGATTATCTTAACGGTTATGTGATTTGGTTGTTGTTTTAATTCGCGTCTGCCAAAATCAATTCATTTCATGGTTAAACTCACATTAATTTTAATTTATAAACATATGAAGCATCTAAATTGTGGTATATAAACTAATATTCAACCAAAGTTTATCAGGTGGATTGGGTTGTTGTTGCTATTTATCTTTATCTTTCGTTCCATCGTTTATCATATCAAAAATAGTTGTGTTAATAAATGTTTAAAATGCTTTTGGCATACGTGCAAAGTGCACGGTTGGGCCAAACGGTTTTGTGTTCAATTCAATTCAAGGCTTCTTCGTGTCTACTTACTTGCGACATTGCAATATTCACGTCTTAATGAATGGTTTTTACTAGCATGCCACTTTTTCCGCTTGCTTCGCTTCGCCTTTCGACTATTCAGGCGACTTTTGCCCGAGCTACTGCTCTTTTTCACCGTTTTACTGTTTTTAGCATAGTTTGGTTTGAGCATTGGCGTATTTAATGCGGCCATACAATTGCACAGACTATTTTCGGGAGTGATTGAGTATGCGTTCGCCAATTTACGGTTCATTGAACATTCGCATTCCGGTTGGATTTTATCACACAACACACAAATACCACCATCGATGGTGGCGTGTTCGTCGTCATTTAAAATATCTTCATATTCATCGTCGTCGTCATCGTTGTCGTTGCTAACATCATCATCCAACAAAAACTCACCGGCACTGTTATAGTTTACAATCATCGATTGTTTTTCTTTTAAAAAATCATCGTCTAACGTTAAATGCTTGAGGTGTTCATGCTGAAGGTATTCACTGGCCAATTCACTGTTCCATGCTGATGCGGCCGCTTCATGTTTTCCACTTTGCAAATGGCTGTTGAAATCTAATGACGCGTATTCCAAGTCATTTGAAACGCGTATCTCATTCATGGGATACAAACGGCGATTATTCCGCCGTGTATTTGTTCCGATTCGCTTATCGGGATACGGAAAATCAAAGTTACTAGCATCATAGTTACATAAACCGCCGTACGACAGTTTATTTTTAAAATTGAGATTCGTTGTTCCATCATTTGGAATGATTTCGATGGCAGTATCACCACCGTTGCCGTTCTTGCGTTTGTGGAGGCGCGAATTCAAATATACGCCTGAGCTATTCTGAACGAACGAATTATCTTCCGGTTGATTCGATTCGGTTCGAGCAGTAGCAAGTAATTTTGGTTCAGTTCGCTTGCCTTCACATTTACTGCAAATTTCGTCGAGCGTTTGATCGTTGATCCTCTTCTTTTGCAAATAATATTCTTTCAAGCGCTTCAAATGCTCTTCGAAAAATGCTTCGAGATCACTAATCTCCTGCGAAAAACTGTAGTCAGTCGATTTTTCGTCGTCCGGCTGCAATTTCTGTTGTATTTCACTGTAGTATCGATTGAGAAATGTTTCACATGGATTTTTCTCCGTTTCTAATTTAATGTTACTTTTCGCTGGAGCTACTATTGATGACGATGACAACAACGATTTTTTTGTTTTACGCTCCTCTTTGCCCAGCTTCAACTGGAATTTCGAATTGGATGGCGATGTTCGTTGTTTGAATTGATTCTTTTTGCTGTGTCGTACACCATTTGACTGAAATGCGGACAACTTTTTAAATTGGCCGTCCCGTGTGAGTGTTGCCTTTGATTTGTGTTTGCTGGACTTTTTCTGTTGCTTTCGATTGAATAGACTTTTCTGTTTGGTCAATGTCAAACTAAACCCTGAATCATGCGACGATATCGATCTGAATGAATCGTTTTTCACTTTTGAATTGGACTTTTCAATGCTCGTCTCAAGCGAATGATCGTCTTGCCCAAGATTCAATTGTTTCCAAACACGTCCCAAATTCACTGAATACGGCTCTTTTTGGTTGGTAAATGGATTGGTTTTGATGCGCAACGGATATGGTATCACATTCACATCATTGTTGTATTCATGTGTGTCGTCGGGCTCCAAGAAGAAATTGTTGTCAACGATTTTGTCGCAAATGTGCATCGAAGCGAATGATTCGTCCAGTGTGCGTCGGTTTTGTGTAACCGTTTCGGATGGATCCAAATTGCCGATTGCTTTGTGCAAACCAAACGGTTTCAATGCGCTCTTATCATAGTTGTTCATCGTGTATTTGGACCGTAATGGGTCTTCAGACTTTTTATTCGTTCGAATTTGCTTGTAAATTTCGAATGTAAATTTGCCATTAAGCGATGTTTCGTCTTCCGAATAATCATGCAGATTGTCACCGCCGAGTGCTGAGTCACGGCTCACTTTTTTATTCAGTGCCTCTTTAATCTGCAAGTGACTCAAATTGTCGATGTTACACCCGGAATCGGAGATTTGTATAACAACACCGTTTCCCTTTCTGTTCGACGATAAATCATCTCGATGTGCGGCGGCAGCAGCAGCAGCAGCAGCAGCCACAACTGTTGCCGTGACATCGTTGTACTTTTTGGTATATGTGTTGCATTGTAATGCTGTTGCCGTTGCTGTTGCCACATCCTTTCTTTTCTTACTTTCATCGTCGACGTTATTGAAACACGTTTCCAAATACCCGTTTGAGTTCAGTTCGTTGGAAAACGTTTTAAAAATGACAAAGCTTGGCATTTCATTTTCGGGATTGCGTGCATTATCCTCATTACATGTGTTAAATGTTGACTTATTAATGACTGGATTCGATTGGAATTGCTGCGCTGCTGGCGCTGACCATATGTTTTCCATTGTGCTATCGTTAAAATTAACAAAATCACTGGACCGTTTTGAACTATTATTGCTGGCCGGCTGTCGGATACACACTCGATTCATTTGTTGCTGCTGCTGTTGTTGTTGTTGTTGTTCCTGCTGTTGCTGTACAACGTCATGTGGTGCAAACGATTTTGGCCGAGATTTATGGTCAGAGCGATGCTTTTGATTTGGATCAAACTCGCACTGGGAATTCCGTAAAATATCATAAAATGGATCACGATGCGAGGAGTATCGCAAGTTAACGGCACGGTCGATTGAATCGGCGGTGGTCACGTCCAACCCGGTGCCGATTGGTTTCTTTAGCATATTACCAGCTTTTACGAAGCAACTAGTGCTCGTTGTCACTTCTTCATACTTATTTTGTCGGCTTTTGTTGCTCGAACGACGCTGAACCTTAAACCGTTCATCGTCATCATCAGCAGCAGCAGCAGCAGCACCGCCACTTGTCGCAGACGCAATATCAGTCGAAATACTACTTTCCACACTATTTCGAATCGATTCTTTTGATGACTTATTTTTCACATTTTTGATATTGGCTTCGATTTCAGAGCATCGTCGATAGTTTTGCTGTATCGCTTCCTCAACGCGTGACGAGATATTGATTGGCTCACGAACACTGCTATTCACCTGAACATTCACATGTTGATCGGTAAACGGCACTTTATGCTCAACACGATTTCGTTCAGACGATGGCTCCTGCACAATAACACCAGCCGTGACAACGGCACCAACGCTTGCATGAATCTTCCCGTTTTGATTAGCATTATGTGCGCTCGATTTGGACGCGTGTATTGCACGTTTTCGGCCCCGATTCAGATAGCTGCGTCGAATACTAATTCTCTTGAACGAATCGCTTCGCTTAAAACTAGCATCACCATAATCGTCAGCGCTCTTCTTTTTTGTTCTCAACAAATTTCGTATCGCCTCAAATGAAATAGCTTTCATCGTGATTTTGACGGGTTTTGCGATGAGTGGAGTGTTTGCGTGAGTGTTTGTTTGTGTGTGTATGTCCCGAAGTAGCCCCAAAGCCAACTGATGATGATGTTGTCGATGACGATCTTTTTGGAAAAAAAAAGTCAAACAGTCGATGACTGTCAATCTCTCATCAACTTAAAATTTTGTTTATCTTTTCAGTCCTCGTTAAATTCAGGTTTCTAATCACTATCACGTTCCACATGTTCACAGATTATTATTTTAATAGTCTTGATATTTGTTATTTATCCTCTCTTCTTCTTCTTCTTCACTGTTGTTCATTTTAATTTTTTTTTTCTCTCGTTTTCGTTTTATTTCGTATTCAAACAAGTTTGAAAATAATTCATTTGGAAAGTGAAATGTTCAGCTGTGTGATGGCATAACTACTCTTTTGAATTGTTCTGGTTGCACGTTGTTGTTGTTGTTGTTGTTGTTGTTGTTGTTGTTATTGCGGTGACTGTTGCCCGAAAAAAAGAGAAACTTCCATATAAACACGAAGATTATCTATGTACGATGCGTTTGCGCGCCGCGATGCTTCATGTGATGCATTCGAAATTTGATGTGGTATGGCTTTCAATCAGACGCAAAATATTGCGTCATTTGAGCACTTGATCTAGCATCGAATTGAGCGTGTAGATGGGGGCGTGTGCGTACATACCGACCAAATGAAATGATATGGAAAATGATACATTCAACGCTTCATGGATACTTATCGGGTGCAATTCATCAAACAGATAGAAATGAGCAGTGTACGGAAATGTCGTCAAACGAAATGGAAATGAAAATGTTGGAGAAATTGCAAGCTGATGATCATCATTGGAATGATCGATATGAAAAGTCAATTATCAGCATCTGAACTTAGCCATCGTATATAATCGTTCGTATTCACCATAAGCCCCCCCTGTGTATAAAACTGCAAGTAATGACGCGCACACACAACATATAGTGAGAAAATGAAACGAAAACAGAAAAAAAACTGATGCAAAATCAGTCGTTACAACATGTATTCATGTCGCATTTCAATTGCATTACATCACACCATCTTTTTTTTTTAATTTCATCTTTTGCACAAAGATATATGCGCCAGCGCGAGCGTATTACAGAGCGAAAAAAAAAACAAAACCCGATAAAAAAATACCTATACACACAGAGCACAAGACCAAAAAAGGAGTCGTGCGCCAAATTTCATGTTAAATTTCATGTTTGTATTTTTTTTTTGCCTTCGTGTGTCGCGCTTGTATTCAGTTTGGTTGGTGCTGTTGTCATATTCTCTCTTCACTTGCGTGAAATTGATTGTCGACTTGTTTTCTGTGGGATTCTTGTTTCAACTGTTTTCGGAGAAACGAAAGTAAATCGCATACGCAAAAAATGCCAAAATTCTCTGTTCAACATTTCAAAAAAAACAGAAGAAATAAACACACACACACACGAATTGATCGAACGAAAAAAATGGTAACAAGCGCGACAACAGCAAACCGAAGAAATTGATTGATACCATGAATGCAGAGCATCGTTTCAACAGAACTTTAGTCACTAGATGTTATTAATGCAATAAAGCGTCTTTTCACCCATTGTTTTTGTGCACACGAAACTTGTTGCATCTCTAGGAGGTGGTGAACGATGCGCGCGCGACATCACTACTATTTCGGCATGCAAGCGGCGTTAACTTTGTTTACGAAAAGAGTCATCGAGGTTTTTTCAACTTGCAAATTATCGAAAGAAAAGAAAAATACTTTTTTTTTCATTTGTATGAAATTTCACATTTCGTGTGGCATGCATCGCATATTTATTCTTTTGTGCAACTCTCGTGCTTTCATCAACAAATCTATGCCGAAGAAAGAAACAAAATCGTTTCGGCAATTAAAAGAAAACGAAAAACGAAACAAAAATCAAATTGCAATTTTCCACAACGACTTCTACACGCCGAAAAAAAAACATACACTTTTTCGTTGTGCACATACTGTTGAAATGATAATCTGTTTGTTTATTATTTTTTTTTTTTTGCACAATTTTCCCATTTCACTGTTGCGATCAATGCAAGATTTATTAATACGATGCAATAATTCCTGAGTAACGGCAATTATCGCTAGTTTTCCACCTGATGATTTTTATTTTATTATAATTTTAATTGTACATGCGCCTAGCGCTCGCGCAAATACGCCCGCCCGTTCGTTCGATCTCGTTCATTAGCACCCTGCACAACATTCTCTGTATGAGTGTGTGTGAGTGTTGGAATGCTAATCTCCTTATATATTAATAATTCGAATTAATTTCGACAACAACAACAAATAAAAAGATGTTGTACGAAAATCAATGCAAAAGATTGCTGACGATGGATGGCGACGGCGCAAATAGCCCGTGTAGGAAATTAATAAATTTCGAACTGAAAATTATTACACCAAAATAAGGTAGCTTTACAGCAGCGATAACAACAACAGCAACAACAAAAAAAACAAAACCACCGACGAAAAATAAATAAACTAAGGCGCGCACAGGTAAGAAGCCGTAAGCAAACGAAATAAACGAGTTCCGTTGTGAGTGTTGTGCTATTGACGTTTTGCTTGTGCGGCGTTCAATTTTCAACTGAATCGATGTTACAGTTGTTTCTTGTCTATCGCGTACATATGAGAAATCGGTGATTTGATTGTGCACACGGGGCCAGCCAGTGCTTCGCGAAGCTGGCTTGCCCGCGAGATAGAGAAAGAGAGAGAGCGCTTGCGAGCAAGAAAGACACCGTTGCAAGTGTAATAGTGTATATAGTTTTTGTGTGATTCTGTGGCTCTGCTTTTGTGATTTTTTTCCCTTCTGTCTCTGTCTCTCTCTCTCTCTCTCTCCCTCGTAGTTTCTTCCCATTTTGTGTGTTGTTTTGTTTTAGCACTGTGCAGAGATAGTGAGTGTATTTATTGTGTTTTGGTCCAGCATCGTCATTGTTTAGCTTCAAGTACCTAGCGCATGTATGATATTCTGTGTGTCGCGCGAGAGCGCTTATTCCACCACACACTGGAATGATGCCTAGTTCTCTATGTGTCTCTTACCAATGCTTTTGGTGTATATCGTGTGTGTGTTTTTTCAACTTAAGCCATACACACGATCATTCGCGTGAGTGCGCGTGCGCGTGCGCTCGCGCGCCCTTGTTCGCCGCGAATAGTAGTAGGGATCTGTTTTGCGCGTAGTATGACGATAAATCGATTTATTTGGCTACAAATAAAGCAAGCATTTTGCACTCCGAACTACATATACATTCAGAGAGAGAGAGAGAGAGAGAGAGAGAGAGAGAGAGAGAGAGAGAGGCGAGAGTGAGTGAGTGAGTGAGTGAGTGAGAGAGAGAGAGAGCAAAAATGCTTGAGATGGACTTACCTCATAGCTGTTTGCAAGATTATTGTTTTGTTTTCATGCCTTTTATGTTGAAAATGAGCATTTGCTACATGTTTCTCAAGGTCTCTCCCGCAAACATTTTTTTCTCTCTATATTTTTTTTCATTTTTTTTTTTTCAAAATTAACGTGTGATAATATCTTTTACGCGTTATTGCTTCTTTGGCTTGATAGTTCCGACATAAATCAAAAAGAAAAAAGAAATCTCGGTGCTGCTAACGTTTATTATTATGATTTTTCTTTCCGACATTCGGCAAATATTGATATTCGAGTCAAAGTTTTGTGGCCGAGCAGCAACCACAACAACCGAAAATAAAAACAACATCGTCATCGCTCAAAACATGATTGCAAATTATCAGCCTTTCAGCAATTCAAATTACGAAATATCGCATAGTGTTTACAACATACAAAACGGCCGAATGCATTTTTTTTTCCATTTTGCAATTATAAAAATGTTTATGAGTATTCCATTCCGGCATAGAAGAATAAAGGTGCTCATCAAACGTTTCGCTCCAGCCGAAGCGAGCCAGTCGCCGTGTTGAATGTGTTCATCAATTGGAAATTCTACGCGCATTTTCAACTCTTTCGATTGAAAGAACAGTTTTGTAGTTTTTTTTTTTTTATTACTATTATATTGTTAGCTAATACTCATTTCTATTAATAATTAATCGTATTATTGAGAAATGGTGGAGAATAGAAAAAAACGCAAAAAATAATAATCATAAAAAAATTAAGACTTTTTATATGGAATGGTGTATATTCTGAACGGGTTTGCCGCTTAGCATTTCAGCAATTTAGCAGTTAGACAATAGGACAAACTTGATCAAATGAATGCAAAGTGTGTATGTGCTTTTTTTGTTGTATGCTATTTGTTAGTTGGTGTTGTTGTTGCTTGATTTTTCGTTTCGTTTCGTTTCTGCAAGGTTTTATTTTATGAAATTCTTGGCATGGCAAGTAGGCGAGTGAGCATATTTTTCGTGTTGATTCACTTGGTACCATATAACCATATGCGTCATCTGAACGCGTTCCGGCTGGTGTGTGTGTGTGTGCTGCGTTGCTCTAGCATTAGTACCATTTAGTATGCATAAACCGTAATTTTCATAATCCAGTTTTTTTTATTATTTGAAAACCGTGCGCTTTGTTCAATAGACAAATAAACAAATTAGCCAGAACAAAAGAGCCCAAAAAATATGGACCCAATGAACCGTGATTTGTGGTGTTCAGTGCGGTGTGCGATTAATAGTTTTGCTTTTAAATCACACAACAACAACACAAACGGAGTTAAGTGTGTTTCGATTGCAGAAAATATGGGAAAAATGTTCAATAATCACCAGGATTTCTTTTTCTTTATTCTTTCTTTCTTCTTCGTCGTTGTCGACTCTTTTTTTTTTTAAATCGCAAACGAGTCAAGCCGTTCTTGGTGTCGCCGTTGAATATCACCTTGCGACGAGAGGAGATTGAGCGACACACTCTCTCACACCACATAACTAAATAAAGGAAAATAAGCAGAAAAAAAAAATAAATCCAACTCCAAGAGGAACATAGCAGGCTAAAAACTCGACAATATTTAAAAAAAAAACACACGGCGAATCTATATATTTATATATATGTGCACGGTGCGACGAACTTTCTTATCCGGTTTTCTTGCAAGTATTTCGTAGTCGCACCAATACCATCATCGTACACATCTATCTAGACATACCACCATACGTCTCACGGCATACTCGCTCACTGTCTGCACACGAGACTACTCTCCTGAGAGTTGCATGAGCATAGCACACAGTACGTCGGTTCGGCCCATGATGCTGCTGTTGTTGAAATGGTCCTCATTGCAAAATCCATACCCGTCGCGATTTATTAGATTATTCCGCGATGATGATTTGTACATCGTTGTCATACACACACACACACACACACACACTCAGCCAACGATCCAATTTCCAGCATTTGGCACACAATGCCATCGAATATTGCCAGTTTCATCAAAACAGACTGTTTTTCGTTTCTGTCGCTATTTATTTTTTTTGTTCTTCTTCGGTATCAATGTTTCCGTTTCCGTTTGAAATGCAATGGCACAACACAAAGAACAACACAGAAAATGTGACAAAGCATCGCGCGTTGTACATATCGAAAGGAAAAACCCTTATTTACTGATCTCAGCGACTAGTGTTTGTTTAACGTGTGTGAGCGAGTGCAAGCGTGTGTCCGTGCAGTGCATACAGACTTCTTTTTTCTTCTTCTTTTGAAAGATGAAATCCGGTTTTGCCGCTCCACAACGAGTTCTTGGCTCAGCAATGAAATTAAACTAAAAAGCATCGCTAAGCGCTTTGTACTTCCTTTAATTTGCTTCCATCTGATTGAAAGGTCATTGAAATCGAAATGCAACGAACTAAGAAGCTAGAGATGCACTTTGCTGAACGCACAAATATACATCGATTCAGAAGTTGCCATTCGGTGTGAAAATGAATGCAACGACTTTTTTCTTCTTTAAATCGAATGAACTTTTCGTCAACATTCACATTATTTCCAAACCAAACTGGATTCATTCAAAATAAAACGTTATAAATCGCTTTTTTTTCTCTTTTCCAACGTACAATTTTTCAGTGGTGTTTTTTTTCATACCTCGATTAGGCAGCGCTTATCTACAAAATAGGTTGAACCACAATTGCTACAGAACATTTTGGGTGGTTGGACTGAAGTGGCAAAGATTTGCTGTTGGTAAAATCATGCTGGTGTATGGAAACTGTGCCAATGTCGATTGGAATCAAAATGCAAAACCGCCATAGGCGAATGTCGATTCAATTAAGAATTAATTCTGATGGACATGGGCATATAGGCTTAAGTGCATGGTTATTTTTTTGCACATTCAGCGTTCGCATTGTGTGTCGTTGTTTCTATTGCCAAATGCGCTACACAATCGCATTTGAACACACACACACACACACACACACACACACACACATTGGGCGGGCGTGTAGCACGCGTACACTTATTACGGCTATAACCGTCCATATAACATCAATTCGGTTTGATAAAACAGAAAGTTAAAAATAGAAAAGTATGCTTTTGGGATGTTTACTAGTGCATGAAAATAGTATATCTGCAGAGCCGCACACACCACGAAAAAAAACCCAAATGCTGAAGCGAAACTTTAAGTGATTGCTTAGCTAATGGCTGATAGATAGACGATGATTGTTGTTAAATATTATTAAATGAACTTTCATAACGTAATAATGTTGAACGAACGGACGCAAAGAAAAAAAAGCCAGCAATGACGAAAAAAAACTGTTCACCACCGCAAATAATGAAGAGAAGGAGAAGAGGAGAAGAGGAGACGAGAGCATAACTAAACAGAAGCGACGATCTAAGATTTAAAAAAAAACGATCCAAGCAGAAAGCAGAATGTACTTATTTTATGTTCCTTTTTCATCGTTTTTATAGACACGAATGTATCGTTTGAATATGTGTGTGTTCACCGTTTTTTCGATGCGAGTGCGAAATATTGAAATTTATGCAGATCATTTCTATTTATTTAGTTTAGTTGTAATCCAATAATTATTGAATCTTTTTAGTTTTATTTCATTCTTTCCGCTACTCTTCACTTCTCTCTTCTACTACTCAATGCGTTCAATTGAAGAAGTGAGTCGCACATAGAATGGTACACATTTCAATCAATATGGAGATGAAATGGAGTCGCTGATGCTTATGTGCACTCCTTCATCATTGTTTCTCTCTCGCTCTTTCTCCATCTCTCTCTTTCTCTCTCTCTCTCTCTCTCGCTCTCTATCTATCTATCTATCTCACTCCCTTCTATCAAGTGCGTGACGCAGTGTAATCGAGACGCGTGGCCATACACTTAAAAATCAATGGAATGATCTCAGAAAATAAAAAGAAGGAAAGAAAAATCTACATAAAGAGCAAGCAAAATGCTATGCAAGCGAATATATAACTCTTTTTCGACATAAAATCAGTTGAACGAAATAAATTTGAAGGCGAAACTAAACCAATGACCAACTCTTGCTCTGTTTATGTCGGTGTAATTTGAAACTGGGCTTACATCGATTTACGAAACGGTCGTATCTCATACGCTCCGCATCCTGTATCTGTCTATATGCATAAAATTCATTACATTGATTTTTTCCGTTGATTTGTTTCCCAACTCGGACAACAACAGCAACAACAACAACAACAGATACCCAAATGACTATAA